TCTTTCCATACCACACTCTGGTAGGGAAGGTTTCGTTCTTGCAAGCAGAAGAGAGAGCACTTCACTCCCTCTTTACTTTACAGGAACTCTAGCACTTTACTCCTACTTCTGTTCTTCACAGGACTTCTACCTGTTCAAATGGCATTTGGAAGTGCTTAGGACGACGTTCAACATATTGCAATGGGTGGGAGATTTTTGCGTAGAGAAAGGCATCATTTTAATGTGTGAACAAAATATAATCCTCTTTCCTAATATCTAGCAGTTTGCAGGATTTTAATCAAATTAGAGTTATCCCTACAGATGTAGTTTCTGTAGTTTCTATCAGAGTAACTTTTGCAGCGTACTCTAATAAAGTACAATTTTTCACATGCAGTAAGGCTGAATCATTTTAATGTAATTTCTAGCCCGACATAGAAAAATGAACATAATAAATAGAAGGGCAGGTGTAATTAATTATCTGACTTTCTGCCTTTCACTTAGCAATTGACAAAGTTGCCAGTCTCTATTATGGCTGGTGAGAACTTCCTGCATTCCAAAAAGTGATGCCATTTAATATTTTCATTTTTCAGGTTGTTTGATAATGGTATTTAAACCTTAACTGATTTTTTCCCCGTTTTGTTTATTTCATGCAGTTGCCTTGAGCCTTCTCTCAGTTGAGAATTGGACAGAATGTCCACGTTTTCATGGTAATAGAAGAAAGAAAAATGTAGCCTTAATTAAACATTAGAGTTTTGGAAAAGGATCAAGCAGGATGTCTACAGAGTATGGTTGTTTTAAAAATGCAATACATATAAAAACCAGAGCCATAACAGCACCATCATAGCTGTGCATAAACCTCCTCTATGATCTTTGACTTTTTTGACCGTAATCTTTTGACACCTCTGTGATCAGATAAGTGAAAACTGAATTTTCTGCTCCAGAATCTAGCAGAAAAATGTGTAAACAATAAAAGAATTTAGCTTTGATTTTAATGAGCCAATCCCTTGGCATAGTGATGCAGATTGCATTAACCAGACAACAGAATTTATTTTAAAATATTATTATTCAGAAGATTTGGTGATACAACTTGTCTTCTGATCAATCAATTTAAAAAAAAAAACTTTGCCAGAGTGTTGGAAGAAAAATCCATCTGGTTCAGTTCCAACCCAGAAGAAAGGCTCTGGAAACAAAATGGAGGCTGGAGACTGATTGGTTCTCTTTATTGATGAAGCAGAACCACCAACCACATGTGATTCTGGGCAGATGACAAAGTGGAGCTGACAGTAGGTGTGTTTTATACCTTCTTGGGCCTTTGTATTTGAGCTTCCTGTTCCTGTGTAATAGCATGTCCTTTAATATTCTTTCAACTGTTGTTAGATTCCTATGGTGTCGTAGCTGAAATGCAAATCTTAAGTGTTTGAGCTAATATTGTCAACCTTTTCTTTGTTACTTATCTGAGTTTCTGTCTGGACTCAGTCTTTCTGAATGGATTACCAAATGTGCATTTCTAAAAGCTGGCCTCCTCAGTTTCTGCTTGGGAACCTGAGGATGGCTTCTGCTTCCCTTAAGATTTTTAAATTTCTCCTTTAGTGGAAATATTTTATCCTGACTTTTTAATTTTCCCCAAAATATTTCATTCTTTTGGGGAGGTGGTGCTTCCTACAAGACTAAGATTTAATTTCAGATTAAATCATGAAGCTGAATTTTAGGATTAGAACCCTCAAATTGGCTCCGTAAATCATAAATAACTTAAAGTAACTGTTGACTCTTTCACCAGAAATTTAAACATTTCCCAAGTAGAGCTTGTCCCATCTTGAATAAGGATATGGATTCACAGCACTTTTCACTAAATGCATCTTCTTGAGAGCCACCAAATGCATCTTCTTGATGTAGTGATTAAGGCACCAGGCTAGAAACTGGAAGACTGTGAGTTCTAGTTCTGCCTTAAGGCACAAAGCCAGTAGCTGTAGGATTTTGGGACAGTCACTTTATCTCCGCCTTAGGAAGAAGGCAAAGGCAAAGAACTATGGAAATCCTGCTGAGAAAACTAAAGGGGCCTGTCCAGGTAGTTGCCAAGCATCAATATTGACCTCAAAGGGACAAAAAGGGAGCATCTTGCTGAGAAATAGCAAGCTTCCATTTAGCCAGGGTTTTTGGAAAGCTGAAGTATGAGGAAACATGGGAATAAAGCACTTGTTAAGTCTCTTGTAAACATATCCTCTTTCAGTCATGGATATGCCTCCGTTGAATCATCATGAGATACTATGCAGCCACATTTATGAGCCGGTGATTCTAGGGCTGACAGGCAGCTGTCACACACTCTGAATTCGTTCCATACTAAAAGCTGTATAATCACAAGGGAGCATGTCACCCAGACAATTTAATTTCAAATTAATTGTGCTTGGCTTTCAAAGATTTCAAACTATACGAATGGTATTGATTGATGGTAGATTAATATCAAATCCTGCTGGCACAATCCAGCTGCCAGTTCAGACATCAAGATCTGCCTCACTGCTTTCTTTACTGCCCCATTTATTTTAATGATATTGGGGCCTACTATCTTGATTCTGAAAAGGACAGAACCACTGCTCAGGCATTATGAAATGTGAACAGCTGATCACAGGAGCCTGCTCTTGCTGGCATTTTTGCAAATAATGTCTTTCTCCTGAAGATATTCACTGCAAAATTTTTTGCCAAGAGGAACATCTTTACACAAGTCTGTACCTATTGACTTGCCTACGAACCAGGGTTGTATGTACAGATATTATATGCATGTCTTGCGTTATATGCATTTGAGTTCACTTACTGCTCACTTAGAAGTCTTCTTCAACCTTGAACTTTAAGAAAGTTTAACTTTAACTCTCAAAATTCTCCAGGGCACCCCAAGAAGTCCATACCTCTTAAAAGTTTCCAAGGTTGATAAACTCTAACCTAGAAGCTAAATAGCCTTTTTCTTGACATTTCCAGTGAACATTTGAATGACTTCAGAAGGACGACATCATTTTGAGTAAAAGTAGTGTATGCATTATATCATTTTTATTTATTACTATGTTGTTCCAAGCTAAGCAATTCTAAGCAGATTATGTTCCTGCCTACAGTATTAAGGTTGGGAATGTACAAAGAATAGCATTGAAGCATAAGCCAAATAATGAAAAATATATTGTGTAATACGGCTCTTCAACTGCAGACAATGAATGGTCAGTTCTGTCTTCAAAGTTTTTCTGAAAGGGCTGGAACTTCACTTATGTTTATGACCATGATGGCAAACCTATGGCACACCTGCCTGAGGTGGCATGCAGAAAGCTCTCTGTGGGCACGCATGCTGTCGCCAGCTGCTCTTCCAGTTTCCATCGCACATATGTGTGCGGCCACCTGGTGTTCATGCGAACCTGGAAGAGCAGCTGGCTGGCACGCATGCGTGTGATGGAATCTGGATTAATAGGGTTAATGGACTTCAACACACCCAAATTGTCCCTTAGCTCAAGCACGCAAGCAGGATCTCTTTTCTGCCGAACTGCATAGATCCAGTTTACTATCCCTATCCTTCCCTGCTCTGAGATCTTGGCTGATGCAATCCTGACACATGGATGATGTCTTGGTGATACAAACCAGATGTACCCTCTCTTCCACAATCAATCTTCCAAATTACAATCAACTATGTGAAAGTCACAGCCCTCAATAGTAAAGGCATTTCCCTTACAGTGGAAGCAAATATTTGTACGAATCTGATGAAACAAACTTGATCACTTTCAATTTTGCTTTGCAAAAACCTCCTTTAGCAGGTTATGTTTACACAAATAACAAATCTGAATTTTATTTGTAAAATTCAAAAGGAGTTGTTGGGTGTCCATCTCTCCAGATGTGTTTGTTGGACGATCCTAAGAACTGCTAATTGAAAATATTGAGAAGGGAAATGCCACATTAGGTAGGAATAGATTAGGAGAAGGGAAAGAGCTGTATCTGGCAGAACAGGAAAATGGTTGAACTGCCAAACTAACCACAAGACCTAGCAATCTGTGTGCCTTCTAGTAACTCACTTTCAAGACTTAATATATTTCCACTCAGGTTGAAATGAAGGGTCCTTGGTGCTCCTTGAGTTTGGCTGTTTACTCGACTACCCAAAATAGATAACACAATCAGTTCTGGTAGGGACTGGAATTCTCCACTCCTTCCAATGATATTATCTAGTTTGAGTAGTGAAACATCTGCAAGAAAATAACCAAGAACTCCTTCTTTACTGCTAGTGCTACAGATGAATTAAAGGTTTATTATTATGAAATACAAAAGCTAGTAGAAATATGAAGCTGCAGGGCCATAATGACTGAATTGCAAAACTTAGCGTGATTTTTTTCTAATAGAATATTCTAATCAATAACATAAATCAAGCTTTTTCTAGCAAATAATTCTGACGAAAAGTGCAAGGAATTCAGGATAAATGTCCTAAATACAGAGCTCAAACATACAGATATATCAGATATATTAACTTGTAGCTGTTCTCTTTGAAGGTTAATATTTGATAGTATTTTTAGACAGTACTTGATATCAGACATTTTTAAAGTTTGTGTTTATAAAATTAGTGCAAATTTATTTGCCATGGCAATTCAATAGGTTTTGTCTGCAATTGGTTTAGTCAGACTAAGAACAATATCTGAAGACTTCAACATGTCACTTATCTTAATGCCTTGGAGACAGTCCTTGTCTAAAGGTGATTCCTCCCCCCCCCCTCAGTTATCATAGTCTATTGAATATTTTCCTGAAACTAAAAGCTAGAAATTGAATACTTTATTTGTGATGTTGCAGAGAAAAAGGAGAGAAACATCTTGTGTATAAGAATAAACATTACAGGCTTACAGAGTATACAAACATTGTCAAACATCCTTTGTTCAAATCAATACTAAATTTAATGCCACAGAAATAGGGGTTCATTATTTTCTCATAATGAAATAATTCCTTTGCAAGTTTGACACTGCACAGAAGCTTGCCAGAATCAAGATTTAGCCAGATGTTTCATGGACTGAATCTGAACTTCAAATTAGATTTATGTAGCCACCATTTACTGAACACACAATAAATTACGCTTACAGCTTTACATATAAGGAAAAGTTGAAACAAGAGTCTAAGTTGGATCCAGACATATATCATGCTTATGGATCATCAAAATTAATGGGACTTAGGTTAACACACATATTCTAAGTCTGGAGTAGTAAATGTTATATTTCATATATACTCCATTGCAATGCTATTTTAAACCATTCCCAGAAAGTAATGTTTATCTGCTCCTTGAAAGCTACTTTCTAAAAAGATACTTGTTCCTTAGCCTCCTTTTCCCTACAAATAACAAACAGAAAGTTACTTGACTCTATGTGCCACACAGTTGTGGTACTGTTAGTGCCAAAAGACACAACAAAGATTGATTCTGAAGGAGAGGATTTAATGGCCAAGACATTATTCTATTAGCATGATCTTATTGGACTTCAACTCCCATGAGATGAAAACTGCTAGTTGTAATGGGACATCATTTTGATTTAGACAGGGGAATCTGCAATATAGGTGCCCAGTTTTTATGTATAGATCAGCACCTACCTTGTGACATTTTAAAATATACAATCAGAAATCTTTATTGCCTGCACAGAACAGTTTTAGTCATGAAAACAGGATGAAAAGAATCTATGGATTTATTTATTTTCTTAAAGGTATGTTGCTCATTTGCTCTCAATGCAAACATTTTCCACAGTAATTCATAAAGCAAGATGCTCCATCCAGTTATCTACTTCAGATGGCAAAGGAGAGAATAAGGAGGCAGTCCATTGCTACAAATTTATTCTGAAACCTTGCTTTAAGTCTTTATCACAAAAGAAGATTTATGTTTGCCACATTATTACAAACTGAGGATTATTTTTTTTAGTTTCTACTATTATCAAAGTAGAGTATGTTCTGAGTCATTTTAAAAAGCAGGCCAATATTCTGGTATATAAACTGTACACAAACAACAACAAAAAACAAGGCACTATACATTTTTGGGATATAAATTTGGATTCAGTGAGATTCTCTAGAAATGCATATGATAATTCTTTGTTCAGTTAAGCAGATGAAAACAGCTCTGAGAACAATACTTTTGCATTTAAAAACAGAGAGAGAGGGAGGGAGGGAGAGAGTCCAAGATAAAATAATAAGTCTAGCTACTTTCCTGGAACTTTCTTTACAAAAATGTTGAAAATGAATAATACAAACTGCATTGTTAAATACATCCTTCTCCTATGCGTTTACATAAATACAAATCCTGTTGAAAATCCACAGCTTGAACAAAATAAAACTTTACAAAAAGAGCATTTTCAAAACCTAAATGACACGTAGTGTGAGTAGCCAAAGGATCGGCTACCAGAAAAGTTCCTGCTCAGAGTACAAAGAAAATAATTTCTAAACATGGCCTGTACTTTGGAGTTCTTGCCCACAAAACGTCTTCCAAAGATGCTTCTCGCACATTTACATTATGAAATGACTTCAGAACATTATAGCAGAACCTAGTAACTTCAAACAGAATCTCGCTTTTGAGGGTGAAAATGGGCATCCTACGTTGGCCAAGAGGTGCAGAAAATGTCAGGGGGTCACGTTCCACTCCGGCTCCGGCCCATGATTACAATTCTGGCACTTTCAGAAAAGCCCTTTGGCCTTTTTGAGGTTCACCTGCTTCCAGGAAGGCAATGCGTTGTATTCTTCTCTAGTTAACTGCAATCCAGCCTAGACATGATTAGAAAGAAAGAATTTTGAAAAACGTAGACAAACATACAAAAAGAATACAAAACAGTCAGTTACTTCTTCTAGTTTACCTCAAAGTCCTCATCCGAAAGGTAGATTTCAAGATTAAGTGGGTCCACTCCTTCAGGAAGAGGCCTTGCTAAGAGATCAGCAAGTGGATAAAACTTTTGGCATAGCTTGGCCAGCACGTCTTCTACCAGGATGATCTGATTAGAAGCTTCGGCATCCTGAGGAAGAACCAGAGATCACAGAATAAAATAACCCAAATAAGCAAAAATAATCTGAACCAAACAGTTTTACATGGAGTTTGAATTCTTCAGGGAAGCAAAGCTGTGGGGTTATCACCCCCAACTCAGCCAAGTAATCTCTACAGAGAAATCACGTTTGTTTGTTTATTTGATTGGTTTACTTAGAATAGAATAGAATAGAATAGAATAGAATAGAATAGAATAGCAGAGATGGAAGGGATCTTGGAGGTTTTCTAGTCCAAGTTATAGGGCTCCATTCTGCATCCTATCCAACATATTTATAAATACATAAGATTGGCAAATTAGAAGAAATATTTATCAAATTTTCAAAAAACTGAGAATGTTACAGTTATACTGTACAATAAGCAGAAAGTAGCAATGTGACTTTCAATAGAAACAAATTCATAGTCTTGTATTTGGATCAGAAAAACTAGAGACATAAATATAAGACTGGGGAGCCATACTGATCAGCAAAAGGATCAGAGAGTCTTGGTGATATACCGTATTTTCACGACCATAAGCCGCACTAAAAAT